TAACTCAAGGCTTTGACCTGCAATAAAAATATATCTTATAAATTAAATAATACAACAAAAACTATTAGCTAGTAAAACATTTAAGATATAGGAAAAGCTTATTTGTCAATAAAAGCTGGTGGCGAAGAAACTTGTTTTCAACTTTTAAAATTGGATGCTAATTTTGATCCAAATAAACAGCTTAGCACAATGCCTATATATAACAATTTCGAGTCTAACCTGTTTTGTTAGCATAGTTCTATCTATCTATATTCCAAAAATTTTAAATATTAGAAATTTATTATAAAATGGTAACGATTTTAAATTCTAAACCAACTATACTACACTATTTTCCATCTGCTTCTACTATTATTGCACTATTTCTTCACTTTACTTGGTCACGATTCTGTTTTAAAAAAAAAATAAGCAATCATGAGTTTTTAGCCACAATTATAAACTCAAAAAGCCCAAGTCCATCATGATAGTAATAGCGAAAATCCAAAACGAAATTAAATTTGAAATTTGAAATTCGAAATTCTGGATTAAAAAAAAATATTGCTTTTAAATTATGTTAAGCAATTTTGATTCTCGAAGTTTTTATTTGTCAAATTCTAAGAGTGCTTGCTGGAAGACCTCCTGACATTGTTTGAATAAAGATATCTTGGCAAGTATGATTCCACCTGTATATTTCAGGGATTTAGGATTGGGGATTGGACCAACTTTGGGCGCCACAATATTAATAAAAAAGTACATTATTGGGAATTTATTGTCTTTAAAGACGATTCCTCGATGACTTGCATGATAAATATCGGTTTTTGGCACCAAAATGAAGAGAAAGCCTTGGAACATATATATTATCCAAAATTGTTTCAATATTTCTGATTCTCGACATTTTTTATATAAAATAAATGCTATTTGGTTTGTTTTGATCAAAGTTCACGTTTTTCATTGATTCAAAATATGTATCACACGAGCAAGTTTAATATTATGCTGGTTTAATTGCAACATCGAAATGAAAAATAACCTGCAACCTAAATTGTGTCTTTAAAAATAAAAACATATTATCTTTTTATTTTGATTGTTTTCAAAATCTAAAGACTGTATACTTGATAACACACACACCTGTTGTGGTTGATAAATTAATGAGAATCTAATGGATATAATGAATTCGAAGAAACTACTAAATAGAAATAGAAATAGAAATATAAATATAAATATAAATATAAATATAAATATAAATATAAATAGGATAGAAATAGGAATGTGTGGCTGCTCCCATTTTATATTCTTTAAACAAATGAATATATTCGGTTTCAACTCTTTCTCGATGAAACATATTATATTGTACCTGTAATAATAATAATTATGATGACATTAATAATTATTATTATGATTATGATGATTATTGATTGATTGATAATTGATTGATTGATTGATTTTATTGATTGATTGATTGATTGATGATTTAAATAATTAAATCATTAATTAATTGTCAACTTACTTGTTCGACCTAATTTATTATTATATTATTATCATTATTATAAGTCGAAGAAAAATATTTAATTATAATTATAATTGTGATATTGATTATTAATAATAAACCATAAAGGTAATAGTAATACTCAATTAATGTACCAATGGAGGTATGAGACCCAATCTATTTGCTATACCATGTGCTTCAACGATCTGATATGCAGGCCATTCAGATGTTCCCCAATAAAATGCTTTACCCTGATCAATCACAAAATTAAATGCTCTAACTATTTCTTCCATTGGCTAAAAATAAAAATAAATAAATATGTATTAAAAAGATTTATAGATCCAGTTAAAAATAATCATCATCATTGATCCTAATCAGTAATTCTGATCCTTAATCTAATTGATCCAATTAACCATTAATCATCTCATTAATCATCATTATCAACTTACAGTATCAGGATCTGGTCGATGTGCAAATACTATATCTACATAACATAAACTTAATCTTTTTAAAGAAGCATTCAACCCTTCGACAATATGTTTCCTAGATAACCCTCTATCATTAGGGCCTTTTCCACCCCAAAATATTTTTGTTGATATTACAAAATCTGAACGTTTCCAATTCAACATTTTGATTGCATTACCCATATCTAATTCAGATTTCCCACCGGCATATACCTCGGCTGTATCAAAATAATTTATTCCATTATCAAACGCTACTTGCATACATTCTCTTGTAATTTCTATTATTATTATAAAAAGAAATTATTTAAAATAAAAATGTATATATCAAGCTTAATCGTGATGAATTAGATTATCGATCAATTACCAGGAGAAACTTGGCCACCAAAAGTTACCCACCCACCAAGAGAAAGAACCGATACTTTAAGCCCGCTGTGCCCTAAATACCTATATTCCATTTTAGTTGTTTTTTTGTTTTTTTTAGGAGGTTTAGGGTCTAATTCCATATTTTTAATTTTGGTTTTTTTTTAATTAAAAAAGAGAGAAACGATTTTTAACCAAAAAAAGTAAATGTGATGTACACACGTACGTGTACTAACCAATAAATATGATTTTTTATTATTTTTTAAAAAAAAACCCCAACTTTACCACTACATACACTCTTTGTATTTATATTCATTTATATCAATAAGATTCGATTTCCGATTTTCAATGATAATAGATTACAGCGAACAATATTATTATCGTGTGCATTGGAAAAAATTTTAGTCGTGTAAATCATCATCAAAAATATTGGCTGCTAATTCTTTTATCCGTTACGATAATTTAAATCATTATAGGATGTAACAAACAAAAACTAATGCCAGAATGTCAAGTAAAAAAATGCATAAAAATAAATTTCAATTTATTATTTACTATTTTGGATACATGTAAGAGATTAATCACCTTTTGGATTTAAATTCTTTCCGATTTTTATTATTGTATGTTGTATAACTTAAACGTGCATGATTGTTTTTTTGTAAAAAGATTAATTTAGAATCAATTGGAATCGCGTCTATGAAATTAATCCTTCCAATTGCATTATCATCATTTCCGCGAAAAAATTTGCTTTTCACCACTACGATGATAAAGCCGAAATTATTATGTATTTGGTTGATGATTACCAAAAAAGATTACCTAATACTACATCCTTATCTGATGTTGCACATATGGCTACAACTATGATTCATACACCATGACTTTCTCCAATACCCTGTTTATCTTCATTTTTTGATGATAATGATATTCATACAATACATAATCCTAATAATGTGGATGCTGAATTACTTAGCTAGGCTTTAAAATATGATTATATCTTATGTTTTGGGATTAGTTATACGGAACAAAGTTCTAAATGGTTTTGTATACCAGATAGTTCAAAGCTCCCTGAAAGTGAACTTATCAATTCACTTATGATACATACTTATGACATTGATTTACAAAATAATCTACATGAAAATAGGAAAATGGATACTGTAAAACTTGTTGATTTTGTTTCCCAAGATTTGAAATCTTTACCTGATTATCTTCAAGCTATAACACCATTTGTTGAATTATCTGAACTTCAAGAATATTTAAATAAGTATGCCATTCCAGTTCCAGCTGATTTTCCTGGTCAATATTATGTTTGTAAAGCTATTACTTTAAAAAGATTATATGGTGATGATATAGATATCCCTAATCAAATACTTCATCTAGTACCTTTTTTAGGACCTTTACATGTATCATTAAATACTAGAGAATCAACAATAAAATTATATTACCCATTTTTCAATTTATTATATAAGAAGATATTTAAGAAAACAAAAATTTATCACTTACACCTCCTCCATGTTTGGTAAATTATTTATTGTGTATCTCATGATCAAGATGGATAATTATTAGAGATACAGTTATTAATAAATTTGGCATACAAAAAAATCTTGAATATCACACATCTTTAGATTTATTAGATAATATTGTACCAGCAACATTGGATATTTATGCAATTTTATTTTGTCATTTTGAAGAATATTTGGAAACAATCTTTCAACTTTGGACTATTATGAAACAATTTGGGAGAAAAAATTATGATAAAATAATGATAGCTTTTATCTCTGATGTTCTTTATTGGCAAAGCATTGAACATCCTATGTACAATATTTTATCTGAAAATTTACAAGAATTTAATGAATATTTTGTAGAAAATTTTCATAGCCTAATTCGTCAACATACTGTGGGTAAAAATTATAACCCAGAAGGATTGAGGCGTGATGCAATATCTATTGATAATCAAAGACATAATAATGATTTTATGAAACCTTTTGTTAATACTAAGAAATATCCATATACTAAAAAAAATATTGATATTATGGTAAAACAGACAGCTCTTTTCCTTATTGAATTTTTTCAAAACATTTGGTCTAATTCAACATCTCCACAGCATGCACCACAATCTACAACAAGACCAATTAAATCAACTGGTCATAAGTTTTTTGTATTAAATGAAATTATGAAAATAAGGACTTATCTATAGGATATCACACAAAAAGTCCTCCAAACCTCAACATATTTTGTGGTGCAAAAGATCATGACATTAATATAGAAATTGATCAATTACAACTTTATGAAAAAGTTCTAATACGTGGTCATTGGTATCATAATGAGTGTATTCAAAAGATGGATTTTAAATGTCATTATTGTTTAAATTATCTTGTAGATGGAATTAATGTATTATCATCCACTTACAATGATAGATTGGAAAGTCAAGTTACAAAAACTGATCAAATTGGATTAGAAAATCCTGATGAATTAGATTCATCACCAAATGATGATGATGATAATAATGATGATTTTGATGAATTCAATTCTAACTTACCATCAAACAATCTCAATATAAATATTAGAGCTGCTTTAATTAAATTACAACAAGGTAAATATAAATAAAATTTATAATAAAATTTTTTTATTATTTTATAGTTTTCTAATGATAATTTTTTAAAAAATAAATTAGAGCCTGTTCCAGAACCTTTAATGGATACTTCTGAAAATTAATTTTCACTATTTATTTATATTATTATTTTATTATTTGATCAACCAATAAAAATTTCAATTTCTGTATTACAATAAACAAATAAATTGATGTACTTATTTGGAAATGCGCACATGTTAAAAAAAGATCATCTGTATGCAGTACAGTGTGTGTCACGGTAATACATCCACTTTTATATAGAGGGGTCAAATTTCATTTGTAGATCTAAAGATCACGTGTGGCAAAAATAAAAAAATTTTTAAAATTCTATTTCTGTCAAGATTGAATCTGGTATTTTTCTGTAGACTTATATCTTTTCACAGCATACTCAGCCTGTTTCATATCCAACCCTTTTCTATAACAATCCATATATCAAGCTGATTTCCTTTCAAATTTGCGAATTGAATATAAGGAAACAGAGCCCAAAGCCAAAGGAACAGTTTTCAACAAACCTGTCCAGGTATAGTTACAATTTTCTCTTGCAAACCTCTTGGTTGCACCCAATACATCTCTATGTAATTTAATTCACAGTGATATTTTGGATAAAATATCACCTTGTGACCATGAGCTTCAATGATTTCTTGAATCAAAAGTACTTGGGCCATAAAATCTGGTTGTGCTCCTAATCTATGTCTTGCACAACAATTTGGATAGCTTGTGTTTGCTTCAATATTCTTATTATTGAAAGTTAATCTCAACCCTTCTTTTGGCCATAATTCACACTCTTCTAAAATTAATTTTATTCCTTTGGGTTTTCCATCAGGAAAATCCATTATTTGAATTTTTCCATCAAAGATTGTATCTTGCATTTTAGGTTTTTTTTCATTTCCACCTGGATTCAAATTCATATTGTTTACATTTAAAGCATTGTCTGCAACTTTTGCATGACTTGAAAAATTATCAAAAGCAAAAACTGCAACTGCATCTGGGCGAGTGGCCTCAAATATTGGAATTGCACAATTAATTATCTATAATAAAAATGTTTTTAATTTCTATTTTTATTTAATAAAATTAAATAGAAAAGATTGCTAGAAGACCAATTATTTTGGATGTATTACTGTGACACACATTGTACTACTACTTACAAATTCACACCACACAAAAAGAATAGTAAAAGACATCTAAGTCACCAAACTTGGATCAATTGGGTTACTGCTAAGCCCATTGTTAAGCTCAAAAGTTTGGTTCAAGCAAAGACTAAACACAATCACTGGATTAAATAACATGATCAAATCAAATATATTGTAAATATCCAGCAAATAATTCCTCCATCCATAATGTTTCATTTGATATTGATTGCAATTTTTTTTTAATTATATCAAAATTTGCAGTTTTCAAATTGTTATTTCTCCCCCATTTTCAACAATAAGGTACCAGATGTGTGAAAAGGTAGTAAATAGGTAATATTTTAAAAACTCGAGAGTTATTTGCATTTTAAAAAGTTCAGTTCTGCACTGTACAACCAGAAAAAAATTTCTTTGATAAAAATGGAAGAAAACTGGATTGATCGACATTAATATATCAATATTAATTAATAATATTAATGTTCACAATTTCGCGCGTGACCTCTAGAATTTAATTGGGGAAAAAGTGAACAGGTAGGTAGGTATCAAAATGTATTTAATATTAATGCAAGCAATGGTTAAAAATAGAGCTAATAACATTCATCAGAATAATAACAATAATAATACTTTAATAATATAATAAATAAATCACATTTTCAAAAATATTATCATCTAAATTATATTAAAGTCAGTAGCCATGATTCCCTATAAAAATGAATTTAGAAAATGAGCTTTTATGAATTATCGAGTTTCTTTACGTATAAATTTAGATATAAGCAGGCATACTTTGAAGATATATATAGATAAAGAAAGGGGCTCTCGATAAAAATACTAATGATCTGCAATTTAATTTTTTTATTTAAACTTAAATTTTGAAAAAAAGTACATTTTTGCCTCCTTTCTTCTAAAAGTTGTTATTTAAAAAATTACTTTTTATTTAAATCCTTATTTTATCTAAAAAACGAAGCAAATAAAAAAATGTCCTTTAATGACAAATTCAAATATTATAATTCCCAAATTGACAAGGAATTATCGAAATATCCACAGATAATTAAGTTGGAACAAGCTACTGGTGTTCCAAAAACTTATCTTGCAGTTGGAGTTGCTGGATCCTTGTTTATTTTGATATTTTTCAACTTCTGGGGTGCATTCTTCTCTAACCTTATCGGATGGCTTTATCCCGGTATTTATGTTTATTATTATTATTATTCTAAATTCTTAATTGTTAATTTTACTTTAATATAAATTTTTTCTCTCTTGGTATTAGCTTATGCTTCTTTCAAAGCCATTGAAAGTGATTCCAAAACTGATGATACTCAATGGTTAACTTACTGGTAATATATATATAAATACCTATAAGAAAATTTCATAATTTATTTGATTAATATTAATTAATCAACTCGTTTGTCTAGGAGTGTATTTGGATTCATTAACACGATTGAATTCTTTTCTGATATCTTTCTTTACTGGATCCCTTTCTATTACTTGTTCAAAACAGTTTTATTCCTCTGGTAAATTATTTTAATTATTGATTTTTTTCTTCATACATTTTTCTACATTTTCTACATTCATATATTTTCCTTGCATATATACAGGCTTTTCCTTCCAACTTTCAATGGAGCTCAAGTTCTTTATGCAAAATCCATCAGACCAATTCTTTTGTCATACGAAAGTGATATTGATAAAAATCTTAATAAATTTAAATCAAAGGCTGGAGGTATTGTTAAAGAAGCTATCAATACTGGGATTGATTCTTCTCTTAATTGAAAATGGTTAAAAAGAAAAGAATAAAAATGGAGGCGAAAAATACATTCAATGTAATTTATTTAATAATAAATAATAATGTATAATTTATTGTATTTTTTATTTATAAGTTCTACATAATATAATGCAATAAAATAAAATTGACCAATAATCAGTTATATTGTAAATCATACTTCACGCGATTTATATATACTTCCTTAAAATAATTATTTAAAAATGATGCAAGTAAACTATGTTGGAAATTTTTCTATTCCTACAGATCCAGACATCTATAAAGAACAATATTCAAAATTAAGAAAGTTAATTGAAAGTTCCTTGGATAAATTTAAGGTTCAAAAAAGAATTTTTGTAATGTTATTTATTTAAAATGTCTTATTTAAATCTAATAGATATGTATATGTATATATATATTTATCATTAGGGTGAACTACAAAGAGCTCTTTGGCCTTTATTTGTACACTTTTATTTTGATCTTGTTTCAAAAGAATTTTTTAAACAAGGTTGGTCGGTCAGTCTATCCCAAAAGATGGATGCATTTTTGTTTATTTGTTGAATACAATTTGTATCCAGCAACCACGATCACACCTTTAATTGATTGAATACATGTTAGCAAAGGATTTTTTTAATATATATCAACTAGATCACGAAATACATTTGATTGAGATAAACAAGATGACAGATATAACACTGCCACAACATATTCAAGAAAATGAATTTGCTCAAAACTTTCGTTCAAAAAAGTATCCTGTTCCAATGTCTAAGTTTTCATATGAGATATTTATTCGTTTTTTACAAGATAATACTTTTTTATTAAAAATGGTAAATCAATACATTAATATTGAAGGTAATTAATTAATCAATTTGCTGAATTTAAGAGAGAGTGACTTTATAAGATTATTTATTTTACTTTATTTTAGTGACAGAAGATATTGGGCTATCACATACAAACATTGGAGCTCCTGTCTTTTCTTCACAAGAAGTAGAAGAATTTAACAAGCAGGAACTTCAATTAGGATTCATGCCAATGGAACCAGCATTTCGTGATGAAGTTGAAAAAAGATTAAAGGAAGAAGATGAACGTTTAAGGACTCAAATTGAAAATGAGGTATGAATAATAATATAATGATGGGTAAAAGTAGAATAACAAGAGGAATATGTAATTGTAATTACAATTACATTCCCCTTTTCCATATTGCCAATTAGATGATGACAAATTCTATACCTTCGTTACATCAAGAATTTATAAATAAAATTAAAAAAGAACAAACTATTGATTCACCACCTAGGTCGTCAGTTCCATTACCACCATAGTATGTTTAATTAATTTGTTTACATAAAATTTATCATCACCTTATATATAAAATATTATGCTGACATGAAAGGCATTCAGCAAGGGTGCTGATATACAAGCACAAGTTGATCTTGTAAAAGATTTGACACAACGGATAAATTTAGGTCCTACAAGTCTTCCTTCTGTGTATTTTTATGCATTTTACAACACATATATTAGGTATGAATGAATGAATTAAAATTTATAAGAGCATGGATTTCTATGTATGAAATTCTCTTTGATGTTTAATCTTAAAAAATATTATTATTACTTTCAACTAGTCTTAATTGTTTATCCATATCTGAAGATGCAACCCTTATAGCTGGGGGTTTTGCAGAATCTTATGTCAAGATATGGAGTTTAAAACATGAAAAATTAAGGGGACTTCAAGGCCGTATTAATACATTAGAAATGAATAACTGTAAGAAATTTCATGAACCTATTAAACAACACACACATATTTTATAACTCAAAATGAATTTTTTTTAATAATTAATAACAACAACAACAATAATAAAGCAAATGACCTTGAAAATGTTAAAGAAAAAATAGGAAGTGATTATAAGAAGCTTCGTGGACATTCTGGTCCAATATTTGGATTAAGTTTTAATCCAGATAATAAATATTTACTTAGTTGTTCGGAAGATAACACAGGTAAATTATTCTTTGAATGCATAAAAACGAACAAATTATTAATTTAAATATAAAAAAAAGTATTTCTTTTTAAAATATTTTAGTATTTTATTTGTTTATAATCATTAATCGATGATGAAAAAAGCTCGACTTTGGAGTACAGATCTTTATACAAATCTTGTGTGTTACAGAGGTCATAACTCACCTATTTGGGATATACAGTTTAGCCCTTATGGATTTTATTTTGCTACAGCATCTAATGATAGAACTGCTAGACTTTGGAGCTGTGATCATATTTATGCTTTAAGAATTTTTGCTGGGCATATATCAGATGTAGATGTAAATAGATGAAAAAAAAATGAATTAATATAATAATAATGATAATAATAATATTTTTATTATTAATTAATAAGAAAAAAATATTTTAATAAATATTTTATTAATAATTCTTTTTCTTTTAAAAGACTGTTAAATTTCATCCAAATTCAAAATATATCTTCACAGGGTCTAATGATAAATCTATTCGTATGTGGGATGTTAGTAGTGGGTCTTGTTTTAGAATTTTTTCTGGACATACTGGAGGAGTTATGTGTTTAGCTGTATCTGATGATGGTCGATTATTAGCTTCTTCTGGTAACCAAATTCTATTTAATATATCGACAATAAAAATAAATCAAGCCAATTAATCAATCTATGTTAATATGCAGGTAATGATAAATCAATAATGTTATGGGACGTTGGAAGTGGAAAATGTTTAAAAAAATTAACCGGACATACAGAAATTGTTTATTCTTTAGATTTTAGTAAGGAAAGTAGTATTTTAGTTTCTGGTAGTGCAGATAAAACTATTCGAATTTGGGACGTTTTAAAAGGTATTTCAGTTGATTCTGTTGATGGTGATCATTCGTCGTCATCACCATCATCATCAACAGCAAGCAGTTCAAAAAATAATGTTGAGGATACAAATAACACATCTTTACTGAATAAAAAACCCAAAGGAGCCAGCGTAAAACCATCAAAGTAATAATAATAATAATTTCTTTTTAATGTCATTATTACAAATTTATATATAACCATTATCGAATGGATTGTAAGATTAATATATTTATTATTTATTTATTATAGGGATCTGCTGAATACGTTATGTACTAAAAATACACCAGTTTATGAAATTAAATTTACAAGGAGAAATTTATGTCTTGCAGCTGGTGCTTATAAGTCAAACAACTGAGGATCAAAAGCAAACAAAAATTAAAAATTTATAAATAAATTGATAAGAATGAAAGAACATAGAAATTTTTTACACGGGTATTCAATTTTGTTTCAATAATAATGAACATTCAACATTATTTGAATTTTTGAAATTTTAACTAAATAAAATTTCTCAAAGCGAATATACAAACACCTATAACTTTACATCAATATGTCAATGCCAACACAATCAATCCAATACCTGTTGACATGTTTAATTTTACCAATATTTTCACTACTATTGCTGTTACTACAATTCGGTTCTAATTTTAAAATCTTTGCTAATATTTAGCCAGATAAATATTTTTATCCTTTGGCAAGTTTTTTTCCTTTTTAAACTGTGCCATAATGTTCATTTTTTGTTGATTATATATATGACTCAAGTCTAAATGTTTTATATTTTGAAAAATTATTAAATTATTTTTCTATAACTTATTGATTTCGAATGTAAACCATGTTTAGCTTTAATTATTACTTGGCTTATTTACAGCTCGAACGCGACGCGGATGTATGTAAAATATGATAGGTGTAACAATAAGTTTTACACAAAGATTTTTTTAAAAAAAAAAAAAGATCAAAATATAAATATTTTCATATAAAAATTAAATATCCATCATGAGGTTTGCTCAATTCTTTATTTGAAAAATAATAAAAATAATAAGTAAACTGAAATTTTAATGAATTATTATTGTTATTATTAGTAAAGTTCAAGTTCCAGCCGTGAGGGAGTCAATCAGAACTGTTCTAGGTGAATCTGAAGCTAAAAAGCGTAAATTTGTTGAAACAATTGAATTACAAATTGGTTTGAAAAATTATGATCCTCAAAGAGACAAACGTTTTAGTGGAACTGTCAAGTAAATTAAAGTTACTGTTATTATTATTTTGTATTTATCATCAATTCATTAATATTAATATCATGTTATCAAAAAAAACTTTTTTATAGACTTCCAAATCTTCCACGTCCAAAACTTTCTGTCGCTGTTTTAGGTGATGCGCATGACTGTGATCGTGCTAAAGAAATCGGCCTTGAATTCTTAAGTGTAGATGATCTTAAAAAACTCAACAAGAACAAAAAACTTATTAAAAAACTTGCTAAAAAATATGATGCATTCTTAGCAAGTGAATCTTTAATTAAACAAATTCCAAGATTATTAGGACCTGGATTACATAAAGGTAATCATAATCTCACTATTATTATCATTGTCACCATTAATATAATTAATTAATTAATCAATTAATTTATTATTAATCATTAACTTTTTAATGGAAAAAATTTTTTAGCTGGAAAATTTCCAACACCTGTAACTCATAATGATGATTTAAATGCTAAAGCAGATGAGTTACGTTCCACCATCAAATTCCAACTTAAAAAAGTTTTATGTCTTGGAGTAGCAGTTGGCCACGTTAATATGAGTGAAGATGAATTAGTTGCAAATATAATGTTGAGCATTAATTTCTTGGTTTCTCTACTTAAGAAGAATTGGCAAAATGTTAGAAGTTTATATATTAAATCCTCGATGGGTAAACCTCAACGTTTATATTAAACGATATTTAACGCAAGAAAAGAATAATATAATTGCTGTAATACCCTTTTTTTCTAAAATTTGATAAAATCAACTATTGATATTTTTTTTTCGATAATAATAAAGAATTTGTTTATTTATTGTTTAGCTTTGCCCAAATTTTGTAACACGGGAAATATGTCGTTTCTTAATTACTTTGCTAGCAATTGCTAGCTAAAGATTAACAAGCGCCCTCAAAACTTTCGGGACGGTTTAATGTTCTTTATATAGTAATAGCTATTTCTTGGTCCGCACAATAAATATGAGCATCTATACCATATCTTTTAACAAATTTCACTAATATCAACTTATCCAAAAAAGCTTCGGATAACCCTTTCATTAAAAACAATAATTTTTTCATTATGTTTCACATAAGAAAAGGTAAAACTTGTTTCTCCTATCATGAACTGTGAAAAGTTTTCAGGTCGCAAGAGAGTATTATTCTCAATATATCGAACTTGTTCATAGAATGTTAGATAATAATTCTTTAATTCTCTGATCCCAAACTTTCAATGCCAGTAAGTGATTCCATTGCACTTTAGTCATTCTTCATAACAAAAGTGGGAACATTGGCGTGAGAGGTTCCATCGTGAATTCCTTGCCTAAAACAGTTCCACTAATGCCAAGATAAGGACCTACGAGGTAGAGAAGGAAAGCAGTGTTAAGACCTTGACGTATTACATTACTTCCGTTTAAGGCAATTCGTTTTGCATAAGATGCGCAAGCCCGCACACATTCACATCAATTCCATTCCCCAATCTCATTTTCTATTTCTCCAACAAAGAGTACAATGATAACAACAGAGCCTATATCAGCTTCTTGATAGTTGGCAGGAAGTGGTATCAACAGGTTCATTAAGATAATTAGATGTCTTTCATTTTCATATTTGAAAACTTTCGCCATCAATTCAACAGACTCTATGACCGATCCACAGTCATCTTTCATAATTTCAATTTGGTGACAACTTGTTTGAAAAGATTCAAGTGTTCTATTATATAATGTAATAGGTGTACTTGCACGTGGCCTGTAATTGTAAACAAGAGGTTTTTTTTTCTGAGCCTTTAACATTTCATGGGTTTGCAAAATAATGATGGTGTTTTCATTGTTGCTATATGTCTGATCTTCTGTTTGGTTTCTTCTCAAGTATTTTCTTTTGCTTTTCTCTTGGTAATTACATTTTTTACCTGAACTAGTGTTGACGTAGTAGTAGAAGAGTTAGTAGTATTGTAAAACCATAATATGGACAGATGATTTACGTATAAAAAAAGATAGAATATTGTGCAGATAATATTTCAAAGAAGTTAATTTTATCACCAATGTATTATAACCTAGCATTTTTATTGTGAGATCCTTTACTTATCATTTTTTCAATTCTTTTTTCAATTCGGCAACTTCATTTTCTAAATGTTCGACCTTTCTTTCAATTCCTAAAAAGAATGGTTATTTTGTAAAGATCAGATTAATATTTGCAATACTGATCATAATTGAGCGATAATAATATTCGCGTAGTAGAGAATCGAATATTTTTGTAATCGGTCGATAATAATAATAATGCTAAAAAATTTTCCGATTATTATTATTATTATTCGCCTGTATTATCCGTCTATGCACAAAAAACCATTTTTTTTATTTTATTATTCACATTATAGGTTTTCTATTCGAATAAAATGAATAATAAAACGAACAAAACGAACAAAACGAACAAGAATAATAAAATTTTACATATTAATAATATTAATGACGATAAAAATAATTTACAGTTGCAATGTGTTCAGTGAAGAACGAGAAGTGAAGTGTGAAGCCATTTCACAGTTGTGGATGGAAAAGTCAAATATATTTTTTTGACTTTCGAAACCATTTATTTCTGAAGAAAACTCTTAAAATTAAAACCACTTCATTTAATTAGATTCGAGCCAAGTCAAATAAAATTATTATTATTTATAGATTCGAATCGTATTTTGCAAAAACTTATGATTCGTTCGAATTTATTTTGAACACCAAACATTGCAAGGTTACAGATAAAATTGCATTTATAAGAAAACAAGGTCTTAAAGCATATTTAAAATGTATTTATGGACGAAAATCCCGAGTCAGATTAATAATTGTCTTACGCAAAACATTTTAAAGATAATAAATTTTCAAAAGGGTTTGTGTATCATGTAGATAAAAAGTGATGTAATCAGAAAAAAAACCGACATTTTAAAAACATTTTTCAAATATTGAGATGGCATCCATAACCAGAAAAATTTCACATCAAGCATTAGTTTTAGATTTATATATCACGCTAAGGTGAACCATATGGAGCAATTTGTCATAGATAGTGTATTTCATTCATTCCATTTATTGGGAGTTGGTAGGGAAGAAAGAGCAATAACAGATCGATATTCACGGAGACTTGTTTCATGATATAATTATTTAAATAAAAAGGTAAAAATAATGAAAGCTATATATATCTTGATTTCCTCTCTCAAAAGACATCACCAAATTTACCATTTGTTAGTATAAACATTTTTATTAACAGATAATTTTGGTTTATTTTATTTAGTCGAAGCTAATCAAGCTATTTCTAACTTATAAAATTTATTACAAAGTTATTTTTACAGTAGGTCGATTTCAAGTTCCTTATAAACATGTTAATTAATTAGTAGCCCGTGGTTATTTAGCCTAACATGGGATATATCACCCACTACGTGCTATTTTAACCTATTCAGGGTTATTCTGCACCAACGAAATAGCCCATATGGGCTACATCATCACGAATTTCTACTAAGGAAGGTTAAATTTTATTTTACATATGACGCTTGATCTGCGATGTCATGTGACTGATATATTAATATGTTAATCATTGCTGTTTTGGACATTTTTATAAATAATCAATGAACGGGGAAGTCGGTTTAAATTGTTAAAAAAATGAATTCTGAAAATGAGAAAGACACTTTAAGACCTAGTAGTGTCGCTGTTGTAGGTGGAGGACTTGTCGGTACTCTTTCAGCAATTTATTTTGCAAAACGTGGTTGGTCAGTCAGTTTATTTGAACTTCGTAAAGGTAAAAAATAAATATAAAATAAACAAATATACTTTGACATATACAAATCCACACTAATCACCATATTCAGATGTTAGGATTCCAGAGAATAAAAATAATGTTATAAACAAATCAATCAATTTAGCACTTTCAACAAGAGGATTAAGTGCATTGGCTGAAGTTGGATCAGATTTTGTGAAAAAGGTTTTGGATAGTGGACTTCCGATGAAAGGTAGAATGATTCATGTAGATGGTAATGGTAATAACACTAAACTTGTTAGTAACATATATGATGTTGTTTATAAGGTAACGAATTAAGATCTTTAATATACTGTTAATAATATGAAGATATTTATTTATAAATATGTTTCTTTTTTACTTTAGAGATGCATATATTCAGTAGAAAGAACAGCTCTCCTTGAATTATTATTGGATACAGCTCAAACATTTGATAATGTTAAAATATATTTTGAGCATCAATTGAAAAGTTGTGATTTTGATAATGGTTCACT